CTTCTCGTCTTTTTGCAAAGATACAGAATAGGGGACAATGCCTGCTCGAGAGCAGTACGTGTGAAAAAGATATTGGAGTCCTCGTGGACAACAAGTTAAACATGAGCCAGGAATGTGATGTGGCGGCAAAAAAAGCCAATGGGATTTTGGCCTGCCTCAATAGGAGCATAGTGTCTAGATCTAGGGAAGTCATGCTACCCCTCTATTCTGCTTTGGTTAGACCACACCTGGAATATTGTGTCCAATTCTGGGCACCACAATTCAAGAGAGATATGACAAGCTGGAATGTGTCCAGAGGAGGGCGAATAAAATGATCAAGGGTCTGGAGAACAAGCCCTATGAGGAGCGGCTTAAGGAGCTGGGCATGTTTAGCCTGAAGAAGAGAAGGCTGAGAGGAGATATGATAGCCATGTATAAATATGTGAGAGGAAGCCACAGGGAGGAGGGAGCAAGCTTGTTTTCTGGAGACTAGGACAAGGAACAATGGCTTCAAACTACAAGGAAGAAGATTCCATCTGAACATGAGGAAGAACTTCCTGACTGTGAGAGCCGTTCAGCAGTGGAACTCTCTGCCCCGGAGTGTGGTGGAGGCTCCTTCTTTGGAAGCTTTTAAACAGAGGCTGGATGGCCATCTGTCAGGGGTGATTTGAATGCAATATTCCTGCTTCTTGTAAGGGGGTTGGACTGGATGGCCCATGAGGTCTCTTCCAACTCTATTATTCTATGATTCCATGATTCATTGTCTATGTCTGTGTCTATTGAAATTTTTATATTGGTATGTGTTCATATGTTTTATGTAATTATGATGTTTATTGTTTGCATTTTCGGTTGTGTTTTTGGTTCTCTTTATTGTAATTTGTTGTTCGGGACTGGCCACGTCTAAGCCGCTCCGAGTCCCCATTGGGGAGATGGTGGCGGGGTACAAATAAAGCTTATTATTTATTATTTTCCTTTCTTGTCCTTTTTTCTTCCTCTTCTTTCCATCCTTCCTTCTTCCTTTCTTCTTTTCCTTCCTCCCTTCCTTCCCTCTTTCTTTCTTTTCTTTCTTCCCATCTTTTTCTTCCTCCTTCCTTTCCTTTCCTCTTCCTTCCATCTTCCCTCCTCCCAATTTCCTCCAGTCTTCCTTTCCTTCCCATAGAATCATAGAATCCTAGAGTTGGAAGAGACCTCGGGCCATCCAGTCCAACCCCATTCTGCCAAGAAGCAGGAATATTGCATTCAAAGCACCCCTGACAGATGGCCATCCAGCCTCTGTTTAAAAGCTTCCAAAGAAGGAGCCTCCACCACACTCCGAGGCAGAGAGTTCCACTGCTGAACGGCTCTCACAGTCAGGAAGTTCTTCCTCATGTTCAGATGGAATCTCCTCTTGTAGTTTGAAGCCATTGTTCCGCATCCTAGTCTCCAGGGAAGCAGAAAACAAGCTTGCTCCCTCCTCCCTGTGGCTTCCTCTCACATATTTATACATGGCTATCATATCTCCTCTCAGCCGTCTCTTCTTCAGGCTAAACATGCCCAGCTCCTTAAGCCGCTCCTCATAGGGCTTGTTCTCCAGACCCTTGATCATTTTAGTCTCCTCTGGACACATTCCAGCTTGTCAATATCTCTCTTGAATTGTGGTGCCCAGAATTGGACACAATATTCCAAGTGTGGTCTAACCAAGGCAGAATAGAGCATGGGTAGCATGACTTCCCTGGACCTAGACACTATGCTCCTATTGATGCAGGCCAAAATCCCATTGGCTTTTTTTGCCGCCACATCACATCTTAAGCGCTCTCTGATTCTCTGGTGTTGCTTTCCTTGGAAATAAGAGTTGTTGTGTCTCTTTTCTAGAGACACTGAGCAAACCATCTTGGAAAATATTTCAATGCTTTTCCTGGTTACAGGTTATCAGGGGTAACCTGAATACAGATTTTGCCTTCCATGGCTGTATCTCTGCCTTCATCTTTCATCCTTTGTTTGCAGGGCTTTGGAGAGAGGCTCTTTTCCCCTCCTTCCAGTGTCAGGCTGGGCAAGGAAGGGTTAAGGGGAGGGAGTGTGGTTCCCAGAGAGGCAGGAAGGAAGTGGGCCTCCTCAGACCTGCCTGTTCTGCCCCTCTAGGAACCAAACTCCCTCCACTTCCGGCTGGGAGAAAAGAGAAGAGAAGAGTTGTCCCTTTGGCCTCCACTCCTCCTTCTCTTTGCATCCTGTCTCTTCTCCTCCTTGTGGTGAGTCTTCTTCCCATTCCTTCTCCAAAGGGCCAAAGAGGGGCTGAAGCCCAACACACCTGGAGGGAGGGACAAAGTGGGCCCAGGCTTGGACTCTCATGGGGTTGGGGGTCATCAGATTCTTCAACTAGGGGATCCTTAGGAGGAGAGAGAGAGGCAGCCAGAGGGCCAATGGCTTGTCCCTCCCAACCCACTCATCTGCTTATGTGGGTGTTTCCCACCCCCCCCCCCCACCTCCAATACATTTTTAAATAATTCAGAGTTTCTGTTTGCCATCTGGATTTCCAAATATTTTATTTAGTTGTTATATTGATTTTTCTTTCTTGTTTCAAAGTCTCTTGGTTCTTCTCTACAAGAAAGGCTATGGACCATGAAGCATCAGCTGAAGGAATAGGAGCCCCCGGTGGCGCAGTGGGTTAAACCCCTGTGCCAGCAGGATTGAAGACCGACAGGTTGCAGGTTCGAATCCGGGGAGAGCGCAGATGAACTCCCTCTGTCAGCTCCAGCTCCTCATGCAGGGACACGAGAGAAGCCTCCCACAAGGATGGTAAAACATCAAAACATCCGGGTGTCCCTTGGGCAACGTCCTTGCAGACGGCCAATTCTCTCACACCAGAAGCGACTTGCAGTTTCTGACACAACAAAAAAAAAAGTTAAAGGAATTACGGGGGGGATTCAGTGTGGGTTGGGACTGAATGGGAGCTCAGTGGGAGGCCAGATGAGGCCAGGTGGGCCTGGAGGCTGGAGAAGCAAAGATTACCAGGCCAATTAGAATTGACATGGATGACTAGGACGGTTTTACATGGTGTATTTTAATGTTTTGATAAATATTTTTAATGTTTATGTATGTGTATAAGAATTTGTGTCCTGGCATTGAACGCCCTTCCAAGGGAAATAAGACAGGCCCCATCCCTCCCTTCCTTTCATAAAAGCTTGAAGACCTGGTGGTTTCAATAAGCCTTTGAAAATGACCAGTTCTAACTCAGCCCTACACATTGTCGAATATGACCTTATTCTTCCTACCAATTACCCAGATCATTTCATAGAATCAAAGAGTTGGAAGAGACCTCATGGGCCATCCAGTCCAACCCCATTCTGCCAAGAAGCAGGAATATTGCATTCAAATCACCCCTGACAGATGGCCATCCAGCCTCTGTTTAAAAGCTTCCAAAGAAGGAGCCTCCACCACATTCCGGGGCAGAGAGTTCCACTGCTGAACGGCTCTCACAGTCAGGAAGTTCTTCCTCATGTTCAGATGGAATCTCCTCTCTTGTAGTTTGAAGCCATTGTTCCGCGTCCTAGTCTCCAGGGAAGCAGAAAACAAGCTTGCTCCCTCCTCCCTGTGGCTTCCTCTCACATATTTATACATGGCTATCATATGTCCCCAGAATGAACAGCCACAGACCCATACCTACTATAGCATTGCACTTAATTTCCAAGCTTCCTAGAATTTTTGGGCTTGCACAAATCTTGGCCCAGCCTTTTAAATTTTTAAATTGCCTTGAACAAACAGGATTACTTTTAATATATGTGTGTTATGGCGACAATTTTTATGCTTATATTTTGCTCTGTTAATCTTATGATTATGTTGTTTTTACTTTGTATGTTTTGTGATGTTACCTGGGAACTACTCTGAGTCCCCTCAGGGAGATGGAGCGGTATATAAATAAAGATTATTATTATTATTATTATTATTATTATTATTATTATTATTTACTGTATATATGCTGTTCTCCGCCCTAATTCCCCTTCGGGGTGAAAAGGACAAAATATAAATGTTTTAAATAAATAAATAAATAATAAATAAGACCCAAGTGGAAGGAGGGCTCCACATTACCTGGCTCTAGAATAAATACAAGGCTTGTTTTTTTTTTCCCAAGAAAAAGTCTCTCAAAGCCTGTTGTCTTATTCCGCCTTTCTTTCACAGAGGAAATGTGATTGTTGGCTGAGAATTTTAGAATAGAGCCTGTTTTGGGATTTCCTTCCCTTGAGAGAAGAGGGAGGAAAAGCATCTTGGATCCAATTTACTTCTTCTACAAACAGTGGTTCCAACATGGAGAGACCCAACTCACCTGGACCTGAAGCAGGACTTGGGAGCAGTGGAGCACCCTGGAAAAAAACTACACATAAGTCCCAGAGTGTGGACCTTTCTAGCTCAGACATACAGTGCCAGCGCTTCAGGCATTCCTCCTTCCGAGAGGGCGAGGGACCCAGAGAGGTTTGCAGCCGCCTCCACTCTCTCTGCCGCCAGTGGCTGAAGCCAGAGCAACACACCAAGGCGGAGATGCTGGACCTGGTGATCCTGGAGCAGTTCCTGAGCATCCTGCCCCCAGAGATGGGGAGCTGGGTCCGAGAGTGTGGGGCAGAGACCTCTTCCCAGGCGGTGGCCCTGGCGGAAGGCTTCCTCCTGAGTCGGGAAGAGGACGAGAAGCAGGAAGGACAGGTGAGAGCATTGCCTCTTTGGTTCCCTCACCATGGGACTGATAGATAGATTAAATGTACATCCTGCCTTTCTTCCAAGATGTGACCAATGGGCCCCTAAGTAGTCCCCATTCCCTCCTTCTCTGCCCCTCCTGCTCTCACCACCATATCCACTGTAAGCTTAGTTGCTGCTCTACCCAAATTTCTTGACCCCAGATATCACATTGAAAATGATGGGAGGGAGAATATGGTATTTGTTTCAAACTCAGAGTTATTCTTTTAAAAAAGTCCATGCAGTTTCCACACACAAGTCTGTGATTTTTAAAAAAATAATAATTCTCCATACTACTTCTGGAATACTCTTTGTTCTTTCAGGCCCAAAATAACTGCATTGAAGTCCACCCTGATGTCCCTGAATCTGAGAAATCTCCAACAGACACCACCCAGAGCCTCCAGGAGGAGGAGCTCAAGCAGAAAGGAGATGGGGCTGCAGCCTTGGAGGGTAAGAAGGAACTCATTGAGTGTTTTGCTGTCTTATATAAATTTCCCCTTGGAATTGTGGCACAACCCTAATCAGTTTGAGATTGAAATTGTGCACATCCAGGATCATTTGGCCTTGAGATGAATATATAGATAGGCATTTGGTTCAAATCGTGTTATTTCTTTGAGACTTGCAGTTTTCTTTCTTGCAATACTTGTACATTAGTCTTAAGTTGAGTCTGACAGACAATTCAGCCCTTCAGTATGTTCCCAGGTGGGAACCGAACCTAAGATGAGCCCTGAAACTGAGCTGGAAGACAAACAGACAACAAATAATAATTTTAGTTAATTGAAATACCAAGCCCAGTACAAGTTTCAATCCAACCTACTTAAAGCACTGCATGTGTTAAAATGGCCTAAACTCCAAAGTGTGATATATCCCTGGCCTGGAGAATGCTGCTGTGTTTTTAAGGTCATTTCCTCATAGGTTTCTTTTTAGGATCTCTGAGACATGTTTATGTGATAAGCTTTCCACATCTTGCTCTCTCTCCCAGGGGCTGGAATGATGCTATTGGCAAATCCACAATGGTTTCTTCCGCTTTGTGATGGTGTGGAACTGAATCAGGTAAGCAGAAGGATTCCTGGGAGAGGAGGAAGGGAGATGCCTGGGAGTCATTTGTTATTGGCTAAATCATCAAACGTCTCTTGAAACAGAAAAAATTGAACCAAAGGAAATGTAAATAATTTCAAAGAGATTCTTTAAATTATTTTTCTTAATTCTTTTATGTGAGAAGCAAATGTTTTCTTTTTCCACCAGGGCCCAATCACCTTTGAGGACGTGGCTGTCCATTTGTCTTTGGAGGAGTGGGCTCTCCTGAATCCTGGTCAGAAAGCCTTCCACGTGCAGCTCATGGAGGAGATTCATGGGATGGTGGACTCTCTTGGTAAGGCTCCCCAGGGATTTCTATTTCAAAATGCATTATCCCAAATAACAGCTCTCTAGTGGAAGTAATTTCCAAAATCATCTCAGAGGATCCTCAAGGCAGGGCTTATGTTCGAAACATATAATAAGAATAATAACAACTTCTTTATTCTTGTTTCCTGCCTCTATCTTCCTGAAGGGACTCAGGGCAGCTCATGTGGCGACCAAGCCTAATATAAACAAGATTACAAGGAACACAATTAATAACGTATACAATAAAATATATTAGAAACAGTGAAGCCAATAAGATGTAAGACATCATAAAACATAAATCAAGCATTAACCAACCAGTAACTGAGAAAAGTTGGCATGTTCAGATTTTAGACTAATAGGGCAGGACAAGGGCTTGTGCAAACGCAAACGATAGGGCCGGGGCGGGGAATAAAGTGCTGGAATCCAACTAAAAAGATTAGGGCTAGGCAGACTTAACCAGTAGCTAAATCATTATTCAAAGGCACATTGGAACATCCAAGTTTTCAAGTCTTTCTAGAAGGTGGACAGGATGGGGGATGATCTAATCTCCCTGGGAGAGAGGTTCAGAGTCAAGGGGCCACCACCGAGAAGGTCCTCTCTCGTCCCCACCACCCGCGCTTGTGATGGAGTGGAAGCGAGAGAAGGGAGTCCCCAGCAGATCTTAGTGCTCACGCCGGTTCATAAAGGGAGATACGATCACTCAGACACATTAGTAATATATTATTCCCTTATTTATTTATTTATTTAGCTAAAACATTTATATTCCCCCCGAAGGGGACTCAGGGTAGAGCACAGCATATATACGGCAAACATTCAATGCCGGGACATGAATTCATTATGTTGTTGTTTATTCTTTCAGTCACTTCCCTCTCTTTGTGACCTCATGGACCAGTTCACACCAGAGCTCCCTGTTGGCCGTCCCCACCCCTAGCTCCTTCAAGGTCAAGCCAGTCACTTCAAGGATACTATCCATCCATCTTGCCCTTGGTTGGCCCCTCTTCCTTTTTCCCCAGCATCATTGTCTTCTCTAAACTTTCCTGTCTTCTCATGTTGTGGCCAAAATACTTCATCTTGGCTTCTAATCTCCTTCCCTCCAATTAGCGGTCGTCTTTATTTCCTGAAGTATGGACTAGTTGGATCTTCTTGTGGTCCAAGGCACTCGCAAAACTTTCCTCTAGCACCACAGTTCAAAAGCACCTCTCTTCCTTCACTCAGTCTTCCTTATGGTCCAGCTCTCACATCCATAGGTAACTATGGGGAATACCATTGCTTTAACTATGCGGATCTTGGTTGCCAGTGTGATGTCTCTACTCTTCACTATTTTATCGAGATGGGTCCTTGCTCTCCTTCCAAGAAGTAAACGTCTCCTGATTTCCTGGCTGTAGTCTGCGTCTGCAGTAATCTTTGCACCTAGAAATACAAAGTCTGTCCCAGCCTCCACGTTTTCTCCCTCTATTTGCCAGTTATCAATCAATCTTGTTGCCATATTTTTTTTTATGTTTAACTGCAACCCACCTTTTGCCCTTTCTTCTTTCACCTTGATTAGAAGGCTCCTCAGCTCCTCCTCCTTTCGGCCATCAAAGTGGTGTCATCTGCATATCTAAGCTTGTTAATGTTTCTTCCAGCAATGTTAACCCCAGCCTTGCATTCCTCAAGCCCTGCACACCGCATGATGTGTTCTGCATACAAGTTGAATAGGTTGGGTGAGAGTCTACAAACCTGCCGTACGCCTTTCCCAATCTTGAACAAGTCCATGGTCTGTTCTGACTGTTGCTATTAATTATATGCATACATAAACATTAAAAACATTTGTCTTAATATTAAAATACAATGTTTAAAACCACCTTAGGGCCTTTCCAGACAGAGCTTTATCCCAGGAGCATTTGCATTAAAAAAAGTGACTGTTCTGTGGGGCCCTGTTCACATGCACCTAGAAAGCGCTTTCTGGGGTGGGTGTCCAAATGTGGTACTGGGACTTCCCAGTACAACACTAGGACACAGTAACCCCCTTCCCAAAAGCCCCCTAAACTGATTTGTGTCAGATTAATTCCAGTTTGGGCAGAATGTTGTCTGGAGAGCCCCCTTTTTATTGCAGAAGATCTGCCCTTAGCTTTCTTTTTCTCTCTGCTGATTTGCTATTTCAAGGTGGCTCGCTGGAAGACTGATCAAGAGTAGTCATCCCAGATCAGTCACTTGTGAGTGTGTGTGTGAGAGAGAGACAAGAAGAGGGAGGAAACAGATTGGCTAGAGAATGGATCATGAAAAACAATGGTGTTCAAACTGGAAACGGGTTTACTATCTCACTTTCCTTATGAAGCCTCCAAACATCTTTGGGCAAGGAGGATTGAATGAAATGCAACCTCAATTGGACTATCCTCATCCCTTCTGCTCCATGTGGGATTCATCTTACCTGTCCAAACGTATCGCCCTCTATGACCATTGCAGAGATTAAAATCTGCTGGGGAGGCCCTGCTCTCGGTCATGCCTCCTTCGCAGGTGTGACTGATGCGGATGAAAGACAGGACCTTCTCAGTGGTGGCCCCTCGACTATGGAACTCCCCAGTGATATTTGATCAGCTCCTTCCCTTGTAACCTTCAGAAAGAAAATTAAAACATGGCTATGGAACCAAGCTTTTGGAGAATCACTGCAGTGCAATAAATGAACGTAGATTCTGTATAATGACAATTGGAATGGCCCTGGACTATGACTTCGGATTATGTGGTTTTAATAATTGATGTAATTGTTTTTAGATGTTTTAATTCTCTGGTTTTCTAGTGTAGATGTTTACCAACTGAATAGTATTTTAAGGCATTGTCAATATGTGAGGTCGCTCTGAGTCCCCCTTGGGATTGTGAAGGGTGGGGTACAAATTGGGTAAATAAATAAATAAATGGCACAAGAATCCCTGAAGCAAAGGTTGTGTGGGGCATATGTATGTTGTTTTAAGGATAATTTTAATCTCCTCCTTATACCATTTATCTGGAGTCCTAATAAGTCACACAGAGAAATTATTGTTTCTGTCCTTCTTTACAGCAGATAACTGGAACACCAAACACGGGAAGCATTTGGGACACGATGGGGGCCTTCCTAGACACCAGGAAAATCACAAAGAAGATGAAGGTTCTGCCAGAGAAAGGCCCTACAAATGCAATGTATGTGGGCAGTGTTTTACCCAGAATATGGGACTTATACTTCACAAGACACTCATTGCTGGGGAAAGCCATTGTAAATGGAAGGCGTCAGAAAAATGTGTTGCTGATTATAAAGATCTGAGCCAAGAAGAAATCTTTGAAGGAACTGAGGATTTCGTAAGGCAGGAATGTGAGGAATCTTTTCTCCAGAGTGTTGCTGATTATAAAGATCTGAACCAAGAAGAAATCTTTGAAGGAACTGAGGGTTTTGTAAGCCAGGAAAGTGAGGAATCTTTTCTCCAGAGTGCTGCTGATTATAAAGATCTGAGCCAAGAAGAAATCTTTGAAGGAACTGAGGGTTTTGTAAGCCAGGAATGTGAGGAATCTTTTCTCCAGAGTTCACACTTTGGGAAATATGACGGGTTTCACACAGGAGAGGAACCGTGCATTTGCCAGGATTGTGGGAAATGTTTTGCTGACAGTTCACAATTGGTGGAGCACAAAAAACTCCACACAAAAAAGAAGCCATACCTATGCCAGGAGTGTGGGAAATGTTTTGCTAACAGTTCAGACTTGCTGAGCCACAATAGACTCCACACCGGAGAGAAGCCATACTACTGCCAGGAATGTGGGAAATGTTTTGCTTACAGTTCAGCCTTGGCGAGACACAAAAGACTCCACACAGGAGAGAAGCCATACCACTGCCAGGAATGTGGGAAATGTTTTTCTGACAGTTCAGCCTTAGTGAGGCACAAAAGACTCCACATAGGAGAGAAGCCATACCAATGCCAGATGTGTGGGAAATGTTTTGCTGACCGTTCAGCCTTTGTGAGGCACCAAAGACGTCACACTGGAGAGAAACCACACCAGTGCCAGGAGTGTGAGAAGTGTTTTACTTGCAGTTCAGATTTGATGAAGCACAAAAGACTCCACACAGGAGAGAAGCCATACCAATGCCAGGAGTGTGGGAAGTGTTTTCCTTGGAAGTCATCACTTGTGAAACACCAGAGCATCCATACAGGAAATAAACCGTACGAATGCCAGGAGTGTGGGCAATGTTTTACTCAGAATTCATCCCTTGTAAGCCATCAGAGAACTCATACAGGAGAAAAACCATACGAATGCCCAGATTGCGGGAAATGTTTTTCCTACAGTTCATACTTGCTGAGCCACAAAAGACTCCACACAGGAGAGAGGCCGTACAAATGCCAGGTGTGTGGGAGATCTTTTGTCCAAAGTTCAGCCCTTGTGAGCCACGAGAGAATTCATACAGGAGAAAAACCATACAGATGTATGGATTGTGGGAAGTGTTTTACTCACACTTCATCCCTTATGAAACACCTCCTACTTCATACGGGGTAAAAAACAAAACAGGATTATTATTTTTTTGGGTTCATATTTTTGGAACCATCAGAGACTACATACAGGAGAGAAATCATCCAACTACCTGTGACAAAACTAATAACATGTTTTGCAACAGGGAAATGGTGGGTTCTGGACATTCTGGTGCTCTACACTAAAAATTTAGCATTTCCTGATGAACATGTGTGATTCCCTTGGCTTCAAGTAGCACTTGGCTTGACTTTGGACTGATCTCTTAGACAACTCTCTTCTTGGGTTTGAACTCTTGTTCAGTTTTTTGTTTTGTTTTTTGTTTTGCTTTGTTTGACTTGGGACTATTTTGGAGAACTCTTTTGCTTCTCTGGACACCGGTATCACCCTCAGGCTGGACTGTCTCTCCCCTCGTCAACCTTTGTGGGTAAACATCTGATTTCAACAGAATTCTTTGAGAAGTTTGGTAGATTCCCTTTTCTTGTTATTTAAGTCCCTAAGGTTGAGTCCTGATCTTGGAGTAGCAGAAAAAAAGCTTACTGTGAAAATCCCTCAGAGGGTTAAAGTGTACCGTATATACTCGAGTATAAGCCGGGTTTTTCAGCCCCCTTTTTAGGGTGAAAAAGCTCCCTTCTGCTTATACTCAGGTGAGGGTCTTGGCAAGAAGGTGTGCGGCTGGACCTTCACCTCTCACCGCATGCCGGGCGCCTTCCAGGCAGTTACCAACTTTGCTGCTCCTTTGATATATATTTCTCATCTCTCCCCCATGTAATATAAAAACAGACTCTGTTTGTAAAAGTTAAAAGTTACCGCACATGCAGCCAAAGAAGGAGAAAGGAAGGCGTGCACGCATGGAGGTGTGCAATAGTAGGGAGGGAAGCACATGCTTGGTTTCTATGTGGAGAGCAGAAAGGACACATTTATTTATTTATTCATTCATTTACAGCATTTATATGCCGCCCTTCTCACCCCGAAGGAGACTCAGAGCGGCTTACAAGGTATATATACATACAATATTTTATTAGCATAGTACAATATCAGTTTTAAATATTGCTATATTGTACTATATCAATTATACTGTAATATTATTAGAAATATTACATGTAATATTAATATATAATTATAATATCATTATTATTAGTATTATATTGCATTACATTATAATATTATAAATATTATATGTATATACAATATATTATATTATATTATTAGAATAGCACAGGAGACAAGGTGGAACTGTCCCCTGCCCCCCCCCACACTTCACATGCACAGCGAAAGGAAGTGGGAGGGAGGTGTGTGCCTCCCTCCCTGCACTTGCCGCACACGTGCGCACCTCCTTTCTACTTCTTTCTCTGCGTGCATGGTAACTTTTCCAAATGAGTCCCCACAGGGGTGAGAAAAGCAGTATACAAATACTGTAAATAAATAAAGAAATTGAGGCAGCTTTTATACTACGTGGGTTTGAGATGAGAAATACATATCAAAGAAACAGTAGAGTTGGTAATTTCTTGGAAAGGTACCCAACGTGCGGCAAGAGGAGGAGGCGGATGTGAGAGGAGGGATGGCTGCCTTTCTTTCCTCAATTTGAATAAGGAAAGAGAGTCCTTCACCGCTCTGCTCTTCCTTCTTCCCCAGCTTTTTTTCAGGCTACATTATGAGTGTATAGGTGTAAACATTTTCAGATCAGCAATGCAATTTACACCCGCGTGGTAATCACCTAAATAAGCAGACCCACTCCTGCTCTCTGATTCTTCCTGATTATGTTCCCATTACGTATTTTTAAAAGAAGAGGAAAATACTTGTTTATTCCATGTCCCTAAGTTTTGCCCTTGACTTATCTCTGAATCAAAGCCACAAATTTGTGCCCAAAACCTGCCCTTGATTTTTATCTTCTGAACTAGATGTTGTTTTTGGTATGTAACAAAAATAATAGCCCACTTTATGTGAGTGATCAAAGCTATCAAAGCAGAGTGAAAAAGAAAAAAATAATAGAATCATAGAGCTGGAAGATACGTCAAGGGCCATCTAGTCCAACCCTATTCTGCCAAGAAGCAGGAAAATAATCTTCAAAGCACTCCCGACAGATCGCCATCCAGCCTCTGTTTAAAAGCCTCCAAAGAAGGAGCCTCCACCACACTCCGGGGCAGAGACTTCCACTGCTGAACAGCTTTCTGAGTTCTCTCCTCTCCTGTAGTTTGAAGCCTGTTTTGCTCCTGCTTTCACAGTCAGCAAGTTCTTCCTCATGTTCAGGTGGAATCTCCTTTCATGTAGTTTGAAGCCACTGCTTCGCGTCCTAGTCTCCAGAGCAGCAGAAAACAAGTTTGCTCCCTCCTCCCTGTGACTTCCATGATCCTCATTATGTCTCCAAACCCTAACCCTTTTCTTCTGCAGGCTAAACATGCTCAGCTCTTTCATCCGCTTCTCATAGGGCTTGTTCTCCAGATCCTTGATCATTTTACTTGCCAGTTCCCTTGATTCTTGTCCAGCTGCTTTCAAGCTGGTCCCAGATTGCAGTCTTGCATCTCTTCTGTGGCGTAACAGTTTTGACATAGAATTAAAAGGGAATAGTTTTTAAATGTTATGTGTTCAGGCAAATTGAACATGACTTTGAGGCCAATGAGGCAATGCGCCTATTTTATGAATTGTAAACTAAGACTTTTTGTTTTATAGCAGTTGCTGAATGATAGAGGATACTACTTTGTGAGCTAATTAAATAACTAATGGCACCTGACACAACTTCAGATTGAAAACTTCATTGTATTTTAATTCACATTGGAAATAAATAAGGGAGATATTTTTTTTAAAGGAAGAAACGCTTTCAAAGTCAGAAAAAATTAATGGAAGAACTTGTTCATCAAATATATTTTTGACTCGGACAATGCAACATCAAGCTTTGCTCATAAAAGGTGGGAATCTATCTCTTGACAATATGTGAAACTACAGTATGTAATAAATTGTGTTTATATGAGAGCGGAATGGATGGATGGACAGACAATGTCCCTCTTATGGGTAAAAAGTGGACAACTACAATTTGTTATCTTTTTGTAGACAAGTGAAGATACTTTTGTTTCCTCAGGCCTTTGGAGGGTCATTGGACAGGAAAAAAGACCTTCCGTGTTCTGTGTTTTCTATATTTGCTGTTCTTCCTTTCAATGGTCTGTATTTTATTTTAGTTATATTTTAAACTTTTGCATAATGCAAAAAACAAAACAAAACAAAACAAACCTGTATCTATTTTATCTCCTGTAAACCTAGAATCCCTGACTAGGAGAAAGTATGAACAATAATAAATTAATAATTAATCATTCTCATTGGTGTTCTTTCAGTTCCATTCTGCATTTCTGTTGGGTCCATTTGTTTGAAGTGGCCTCTGCCCCAGAATTGCAAGCTTCAGAGAAGCCACAAAAATGATTTAATCAGAGTTGGACAGTGTTATCTTAAATTACAGTTTTATGTAAATATTCAAAACCATTTTCCCTACTGATGCCTCAATTAATTTTATTTTATTGGTATCTATTTTTATTTGAAATGTACAAGTAGCCACTGCATTTCCCACCCTCAACTTATACTCTTTTTTAAAAAATGTTATACATATATAGACACACACTCACACACACACCACATAGATAGAAACATACGATCTTCAAAATCAATAATCAAAATGCAAGTATTTTCCCCAATTCCACCACTTACCCATTTCCTCCCGAAAACCTCTACCTTTGACTTCTCATTACATAATACAAAGGTACAAAAATACTATTGAATATATTGTCGAAGGCTTCCATGGCTGGAATCACTGGGTTGTTGTTGTAATCATAAAATAAAACTTTATTTATATACCGCTCTATCTCCCCGAGCGGACTCAGAGCGTTCCCAAGTAATATCACAAAACCTACAGAGTAAAAACAACATAACTATAAGATTAACAACAAAATATAAACATAAAAATTGTCACCATAACAGACATATATTAAAAATAATCCTGCCTGTTCAAGGCAATTAAAAATTTTGTGCAAGCCCAAAAATTCTAGAGGGCCTGGGAATTGTAGGTTTTTCGGGCTATATGGCCATGTTCTAGAACATGGTTATACTTCTAGAACATGGTCATATAGCCTGAAAAACCTACAACAACCCAATACTATTGAATATTTATACCTCAGTATGTTCAAGCATTTAATCATTTTCCCCTGGTTACCATAACCATCTGTCTAAGGTTGAAGCTCCTGAACAGTCTTCAGAGGCAACCCTATGTATAGTGCATTGCAGTAGTCTATGCAAGATGTAACCAGTATGTGGACCACCATGGTCAAGTCTGACTTCCTAAGGTACGGGTGCAAGTGACGTACAAGTTTTAATTGTGCAAAGACTCCCCTGCCACCGCCGAAACCTGGGGTCCCAGGCTCTGTGATGAGTCCAGAATTCCCATGTTGCCTTCAGGGGAAGTGTGGCCACGTCCAGCACCGGCTGTAACCCTGTATCCTGTTCAGTCTTGTGACTGACCATGAATATCTGTCTTGTCTGGATTCAATTTCAATTTGTTCGCCCTCATCTAGACCATCACAGCAGCCAGGCACCAGTTCAGGACCTGAACAGCCTCCTTAGCAGCAGCTGGAAAAGAGTAATAGAGTTGAACGTCATCGCACTCCAAAACTCCAGATCAGTGTTTCCCAACCTTCCAAATGCCATGACCGCTTAATACAGTTTCTCATGTTATGGTGATCCCCAACCATAACATTATTTTTGTTGCTACTTCAGAACTGTCATTTTGCTCCTGTTATGAATTGTAAAAGCTGGGTTGCAGCTAAACATCAAAAAAACCAAGATTATGGCAACAAGAATGATTGACAACTGGGAAATAGAGGGAGAAAACGTGGAGGCCGTGACAGACTTTGTATTTCTAGGCGCAAAGATTACTGCAGATGCAGACTGTGGCCAGGAAATCAGAAGACGCTTACTTCTTGGGAGGAGAGCAATGTCCAGTCTCGATAAAATAAAGAGTAGAGACATCAGACTGGCAACAAAGATTCGCCTAGTCAAAGCCATGGTATTCCCTGTAGTAACCTACGGATGTGAGAGCTGGACCTTAGGGAAGGCTGAGCGAAGGAAGATCGATGCTTTTGAGCTGTGGTGTTGGAGGAAAGTTCTGAGAGTGCCTTGGACTGCGAGAAGATCCAACCAGTCCATCCTCCAGGAAATAAAGCCCGGCTGCTCATTGGAGGGAAGGATACGAGAGACAAAGTTGAAGTACTTTGGCCACATCATGAGGAGACAGCAAAGCCTAGAGAAGACAATTATGTTGGGGAAGGTGGAAGGCAAAAGGAAGAGGGGCCGACCAAGGGCAAGATGGATGGATGGCATCCTTGAAGTGACTGGACTGACCTTGAAGGAGCTGGGGGTGGTGACGGCCGACAGGGAGCTCTGGCGTGGGCTGGTCCATGAGGTCACGAAGAGTCGGAGACGACTGAACGAATGAACAACAACATGAATTGTAATGTAAATATCTGATAAGCAGGATGTATTTTCATTCATTGGACCACATTTGGCACAAATACCCAATATGCCCAAATCTGAATACTGGTGAGGTTGGAGGGGATTGAGTTTGTCATTTGGGAGTTTTAGTTCCTGGGATTTATAGTTCACCTACCATCAAAGAGCATTCTGAATTCCACCAACAATGAAATTAAACCAAACTTGGCACACAGCATTCCCACGACCAACAGAAAATACTGGAAGGGTTTGGTGGGCATTGAGCTTGTACATCCAGAGAGCTCTGTGGACTCAAACAATGATGTATCTGGACCAGACTTGGCACAAATACTCCATATGCCCAATGTGAACACTGGTGGAGTTTGGGGAAAATAGACCTTTGGAGAGATGCTCTTTCCACCTCCTTCCAGGGTAACGCTGGGCAAGGAAGGGTTAAGGAGAGGGAGTGTGGTTCCCAGAGAGGCAGGAAGGAAGTGGCCCTCCTTGTACACACCTTTCCTGCCCCTCTAGGAACCCAACCCCCTCCCCTTCACCCTTCCTTGCCTGGCTGGGAGAGGGGAGTCTGTTCCTTTGGCCTCCTCCTCCTCCACTTAGCCTCTCTCTTTCCTCCTTCTCCTTCTTCTTCCTCTCCTGGTGAGTCTTCTTCCCAGCCCAAAACACCTGGAGGAAGGGCAGAAGTTGGCCCAGGCTTATTTCACTCCCAGGTGGGCCTCCTAACACACCCTGACTGAGAACAAGGAGAACAACCCCTTTCTAAGCTCTCCTCCTTGGAAGGAGATGGATGGAGCCTGGCCTTGAGCCAGGTGCGCCATGGAGAAAAGGGGGCCTGATGCAAAGGAGATTGGGGGTCAGCACAACAGACTCCGAGGCTGTCACTTTTCCAACCAGGAGATACTTCGGAGGAAAGAGAGGCAGGCAGAGAGATGCCTCCCAATCCCTCCCCTCCCAACCCACTCCTCTACCTGCCTGGGTCCTCTTTTTCCCCCTTGAGTGCTTAAATAATTCAGAGTTTCTGTTTGTCATCTGGATTTCCAAATATTTTACTTTAGTCATTATATTGATTTTTGTCTCTTGGTTCTTCTTCACAAGGAAGGCTATGGATCACGAGGCATCAGTGGAAGGAATCACGGGGGGGATTCAGTGTGGGTTGGGACTGAATGGGACCTCAAAGGGAGGCCAGGTGGGTCTGGAGGCGCAGAGGCCCAAGTTGAAGGAGGGCCCAGCAGTACCTGGCTCTGGAATAAATAAGGGGTTTGGTTTTTTACTTTCCACTAAAAAGCCTCTCAAAGCCTGTTGTCTAATTCTGTCTTTATTTCACAGGGGAAATGTGATTGTTGCCTAAGAATTCTGGACTAGAGCCTGTTCAGGGATTTCTTTCCCTTCAGAGAAGAGGGAGGAAGAGCATTTTGGATCCAGTTTGCTTCCTCATCAAAGAGTAGTCCAGCATGAAAAAACCCAACTCAACTGGACCTGAAGCAGGACCTGGGAGCATTGGGGCATCCTGGGAAAAAGCTACACCTAAGTTACTGAGTGTGGCCCTATATAGCTCAGACACACACTTCCAGCGCTTCAGGCATTCCTCCTACCGAGAGGGCGAGGGACCCAGAGAGGTTTGCAGCCGCCTCCACTCTCTCTGCCGCCAGTGGCTGAAGCCAGAGCAACACACCAAGGCGGAGATGCTGGACCTGGTGATCCTGGAGCAGTTCCTGAGCATCCTGCCCCCAGAGATGGGGAGCTGGGTCCGAGAGTGTGGGGCAGAGACCTCTTCCCAGGCGGTGGCCCTGGCGGAAGGCTTCCTCCTGAGTCGGGCAGAGGACGAGAAGCGGGAAGGACAGGTGAGAGCATTGCCTCTTGGCTTCACTCACCTTGGGACTTACGTCTTGCCTTCCTTCCAAGATGGGACCAATGTGAGGAAGAAGCCGGACTCTGCTCCCTCGGCCTCTTTTCCCACCTGCTCTATCCCTCCTGCTCTCACCTCCATATCTCCTGTGAGCTTGGTTGCTATCTACCCAAATTTGTTGACCCCACATTGAAAATGATGGGAGGGGGAGTATGGCATTTGTTTCAAACTCAGAGTTATTCTTTTTTTTAAGTCCATGCAGTTTCTGCACATAGGTCTGTAATTTTCTTGAATTTTCTCCATACTACTTCTGGAATACTCTGTGCTCTTCCAGGCCCAAAATATCTGCATTGAAGTCCTGACTGACATCCCTTCATCTGAGAAACCTCCACCGGACACCACCCAGAGCCTCCAGCAGAAGGAGCTCCAGCAGGAAGGAGATGGGGCTGCAGCCTTGGAGGGTAAGAAGGAACCCTTTGGGGTGTTTTGGTGTTTTATGCTGTTGTAATCCAGTGTAACTTCCCCTTCAGGGGATTGTAACAAATGCACAATCCGTTTGAGCTAGAGAAGGCATACATTCAGGATCCTTTGTCCTTGAGATGAGTATATAGGTAAGCATTTGGTTGCATAAGGTACAATTTCAGTGTTATTTGGAGTTTCTTTATTTTTATACTTCTCAATTTGCATACTATTGGGTGGGACTGAAATATCAACCCTTCGGTATGTTCCCAGGTGAAACGAAAAATAATTTTAGATACTGAAATACAAAGCCAGTACTACTTTCAATCCAAGCTTCTTAAAGAACTGCTTGAGATAAAATGGCCTAAATTCCCAAACTTTACATATTCCTGGTCTGGAGAATTCTCCTGACTTCATAGGGCCATTTCCTCATAGGTTTTTTTTCAGGACTGTAATTGTCACCTCTGAGAGATGTGTATATGATCAGCTTTCCACACCTTGCTGTCTCTTTCCTAGAGACTGGAACGATGTTGTTGCCGAATCCACAGTCGTTTCTTCCCTTTTGTGATGGAGTGGAACTGAATCAGGTATGCAGAAAGATTCCTGGGAGAGGAGGAAGGGAGATGCCTGGGGGTTATTTCTTCTAGGCTCAGTCATCAAACATCTCTTGAAAAAGGAAATATTAAACCAAGAGAAACATAAATCATTTCAAAGATTTTCTTCTTATTATTTTTCTTGATTTCCCTTATGTGAGAAGGAAGTGTGTTCTTTTCCCACCAGGGGCCAATCACCTTTGAGGATGTGGCTGTGCATTTCTCCTCGGAGGAGTGGGCTCTCCTGAATCCTGGTCAGAAAGTCTTGCACGTGCAGATCATGGAGGAGATTCATGGGATTGTGGACTCTCTTGGTAAGGCTCCCTCACTTATGGGGATTTCTATTTCAAAATGCAGGATCCCAATCAGCAGCTCCCTGATGGGAACAATATGCTCAATCATTCCAGTCCCTGAGGATCCTCAAGGCAGGGCTTATGTTAGAAATATACGACATGCTAGTAATATATGGGTCCCTTAGTCTTTCTGATACAGAGAACAATCTCCCTGCTTTTTCTCTCAACTGATTTGCTATTTCAAGGTGGCATGTTTTAGAAACTATTACAGCTTCTCCTCTTGACCTAAACCTCCTTTTGGGACATTCTCAGGCCTCAGGTGGGACTGTGGCTTTTGTGTTTTACTTCCTTCATGCTTGATGTCTGTGTGATGACTTCCTGGACCTTTCAATATTCCACTCTCCATATAGAGATCTGGGAAGGACATCCAGGACAACTGAGAAAACAAAGGCAAAGGATGAAAATATTTAGACATTTTAAGAAAATTACAATATTTTAAAAAGAATTTAAACCAGATTCATGGAAGGGTTTTGGTAAAGACGCCCAAACCTTTAAGAAGAAGAATGCATTGACTTGGTGTCATAGCAGCTGCAACGTTAACACCAATCTGGACTCCAGTGGGAAGACTTCCATAACGGGAGACAAGTCCAAGCATACCACATGCAATTATCGCAACTGGGCTCCCTGGAAAATCTATCATTATTCCCCCGAGAGTGTGTGTGTGAGAGAGAGGCACTGAGAGCGAGGAAGCAGATTGGCTGGAGAGAGTGGCCGGAGAATAGAACTCTTTGCCCTGGAGAGTGGTGGAGGCTCCTTCTTTGGAAGCTTTTAAATAGAGGCTGGATGGCCATCTGTCAGGGGTGATTTGAATACAATATTCCTGCTTCTTGGCAGGGGGTTGGACTGGATGGCCCATGAGGTCTCTTCCAACTCTTTGATTCTATGTAAAGAGCAGACATCCCCTGCCTTCGGATACACAGACATGGCTATGCATCATATTATCAGTGAGTTATTCAACCTTGTTTTCCTTCCCAACAAGGCAGGCTAACGTCTGCATGTCTGAAGCTAAGCTCTCTTTGTACGCTGCCTCTCCTAGTCATTGGCAAGATGGTGACCTGCAACATAATGCGTTCTATGTTCTGTGCTTGTGAACGATTGGGGCTTGGGATTTTTTGTGCACTGGGAGAGGCATATAGCAGTAATTAAACTGGGTTGTTGTAGGTTTTTTTCAGGCTATCTCACCATGTTCTAGAGGCATTAATAGAATCATAGAATCAAGAGTTGGAAGAGACCTCATGGGCCATCCAGTCCAACCCCCTGCCAAGAAGCAGGAATATTGCATTCAGATCACCCCTGACAGATGGCCATCCAGCCTCTGTTTAAAAGCTTCCAAAGAAGGAGCCTCCACCACACTCTGGGGCAGAGAGTTCCACTGCTGAACGGCTCTCACAGTCAGGAAGTTTTTCCTCGTGTTCAGATGGAATCTCCTCTCTTGTAGTTTGAAGCCATTGTTCCATTGCGTCCTAGTCTCCAAGGAAGCAGAAAACAAGCTTGCTCCCTCCTCCCTGTGACTTCCTCTCACATGTTTATACATGGCTATCATATCTCCTCTCAGCCTTCTCTTCTGATGTTTTGCCTGCATCTATGGCAAGCATCCTCAGAGGTTGTGATGTCTATTGGAACTAGGAACATTGGGTTTATATATCTGTGGAAAGTCCAGGTTGGGACAAAGAACTCTTGTCTGTTGGAGGTAGGTGTGAATGTTTCAACTGACCACCTTGATTAGTTTTTTTTTTTTGGTGTGGCTTTTTAGTGCCTGGGGAAATCTTTTGTTGAGAGGTGATTAGCTGTCCCTGATTGTTTCCTCTCTGGAGTTTCTCTGTGTTTGGGTGTTGTTTTGCTGTTATAATTTTTGAGTTTTTTTTAATACTCATAGCCAGATTTTGTTCATTTTCATGGTTTCTTCCTTTCTGTTGAAATTGTCCACATGCTTGTGAATTTCAATGGCTTCTCTGTGTAGTCTGACATGGTGGTTGTGAGAGTGGTCCAGCATTCCTGTGTTCTCAAATAATATCCTGTGTCCAGGTTGGTTCCTCAGGTGCTCTGCTATGGCTGACTTCTCTGGTCGAGTAGTCTGCAGTGCCTTTCATGTTCCTTGATTCGTGTTTGGGCGCTGCGTTTGGGTGTCCCTATGTAGACTTGTCCACAGCTGCATGGTATACGGTAGACTCCGGCAGAAATTAGAGGATCCCTCTTGTTCTTTGCTGAATGTAGCATTTGTTGGATTTTCTTGGTGGGTCTGCAGATAGTGTGTATGTTGTGTTTCCTCATCAGCTTCCCACTGCGGTCAGTGGTTACCTTGATGTATGGCAAGAACACTTTTCCTCTGGGTGGATCTTTGTCTTTACTCTCATGGCTCATTCTAGGTCTTGCAGCTCTTCTGATGTCTGAGGTGGAGTATCCATTGGCCTGGAGAGCCCAGTTTAGGTGGTTCAGACTATCTTGGAGGAGGTGGGCTTCGCAGATTATTTTTGCACGGTCTGTAAAAAGAGTAATTAAATTCTGTGACTCTCTCTTTCAAGTGGTGAGAGTGTCATTCATTGTAGATTCACAATTGCAGAAATCTAGCTATTTCAAATTGAGTGCATCTAATATATCCACTGCCAATTCCCTAAATTCTCATATGTGAAGAAGATGCAGCTCCCCTGTAAAAAATAAGGCAGAATTACACAGGTTTTGGAACCAGAGCAATGGCCTGAACAAAGAGACAGTCCACAAAATGGTATTTCCAAGAAGTCTCTGTTATTTATCACCAGCTCTTACCTCTAATGTACAGTCTTGTAATTCTTCACAAACCAGGATGGAGGCAATATCCACTCTCTCAAAACTGATGCCAAGTGTGGCGTTACCTGGATGTCACTATATCCGGTTGAGTTCTGCATTCATTCCTTTTTTTGTTCCCTTCTCTGGGATCTTCTACATCAGAGCAGAATAATCCAACCTTGAGGGAACATGGGAAGAGAGAACTGGACGTTGGGGGAGAGAAATAAAAGGGAGGGAACAATTGTGAAATGGTGTATGGTGTAGTTGAATATAATCAGGGAATTGATATAATAAGAGTTAAGTTTTGACCAATCTGCAGAAGGACTAACAACCACAACAAGGACCCTTCCCATATTAGATGGTGTGTACATTTAATCAAGATTTATGCCCTATCTATATAAATAAAAATGTAATGTTCATTTGTGGGATTAACATAACTCAAAAAACACTGGATGAATTGACACCAAATTTGGATAAAATACACCTATCAGGCCAACGTGAAGGGGAAAAGCATCCATTCCCCAAGAAAGAAGGAGACAGAATTAAAAGCCAGGCTGGGCTGTGGAAAAGATAGACTTTGGAGCATATGTTATTTGCATCTCCCTTAGAGGCTCCAGGCAGACAAACAGTGTCCATCTTTTCTGAAGAAAAGGTGGGGAGAGGACAGCACTTGTATCTTCTTTTCCTCCAAATCTATGTTGTTTTATGGATAATTTCAATCTCCTTCTTATACCATTTCCCTAGAGTCTTTATCACTCACACTGAAGAACGATTGTTTCTGTCCTCCTTCACAACAGATAATTGGAACACCAAACACAGGAAGCATCTGGGACACAATGGAGGCCTTCCTAGACACCAGCAAAACCACAGAGAAGATGGAGGTTTTGCCAGAGAAAGGCCCTACAAATGCAATGTATGTGGGGAGTGTTTTACCCAAAATATGGGACTTATACTTCACAAGACTCTAAGTGCTGGGAAAAGCTATTGTAAATGGAAAGTATCATCAAAATGTATTGTTGATTACAAACTGCCAGGTCTGAGCCAACAAGCAATCTTTGAAGGAATTGAGGATTTCATAACCAAAGAGTGTAGGAAATCTTTTATCCAGAGTTTACACTTGGTGAGGCACAAAAGACTCCACACAGGAGAGAAGCCATACCAATGTCAGGAGTGTGGGAAATGTTTTACTTACAGTTCACAATTGGTGAGCCACAAAAGACTCCACAAAAGAGAGAAGCCATACCAATGCCTGGAGTGTGGGAAATGTTTTGCTTACAGTTCACAATTGGTGAGCCACAAAAGACTCCACACAGGAGAGAAGCCATACCAATGTCAGGAGTGTGGGAAATGTTTTGCTTACAGTTCACAATTGGTGAGCCACAAAAGACTCCACACAGGAGAGAAACCATACCAATGCCTGGAGTGTGGGAAATGTTTTTCTGACAATTCAGGCTTGAAGAAGCATAAAAGAGTCCACACAGGAGAAAAGCCATACCAATGCCAGGAGTGTGGAAAATGTTTTGCTCGCAGTTCACACTTGGTGAGGCACAAAAGACTCCACACTGGAGAGAAGCCATACCAATGCCAGGAGTGTGGGAAATGTTTTGCTGCGAGTTCAGTCTTGGTGAACCACAAAAGAGTCCACACAGGAGAGAAACCGTATCAATGCCAGGAATGTGGGAAATGTTTTACTGGCAGTTCACAATTGGTGAGGCACAAAAGACTCCATACAGGAGAGAAGCCATACCAATGCCAGGAGTGTGGGAAATTTTTTGCTGACAGTTCACAGTTGGTGAGTCACAAAAGACTCCACACAGGTGAGAAGCCATACAAATGCCAGGAGTGTGGGAAATGTTTTACTGGCAGTTCACAATTGGTGAGGCACAAAAGACTCCATACAGGAGAGAAGCCATACCAATGCCAGGAGTGTGGGAAGTCTTTTGTTAACAGTTCAAACTTGGTGAGCCACAAAAGAACCCACACAGGAGAGAAACCATACCAATGCCAGGAATGTGGGAAATGTTTTGGCCGCAGTTCACAATTGGTGAGCCACAAAAGAGTCCATACAGAAGAAAAGCCATACCAATCTCAGGAGTGGGAAATGTTTTGCTGACAGTTCACACTTGGTGAGTCATAAAAGAGTTCATACTGGGGGGAAGTCATACCAATGCAAGGAGTTTGGGAAATGTTTTGCTGACAGTTCAGCCTTGATGAGCCACAAAAGACTCCACACAGGAGAGAAGCAATACCAATGCCAGGAGTGTGAGAAGTATTTTTCTTGGAAGTCATCACTTGTGAAACACCAGAGCATCCATACAGGGAAAAAACCGTAGAAATGCCAGGATTGTGGACAATGTTTTACTCAGAATTCATCCCTTGTGAGCCACCAGAAAATTCATAAAGGACAAAAACCATACAGATGGCCAGATTGTGGAAAATGCTTTTCCTGCAGTTCGCACTTGGTGAGGCACAAAAGACTTCACACAGGAGAGAAGCCATAGAAATGCCAGGAGTGTGGGAACTGTTTTATTTGTACTTCATCCCTTAGGAAGCACCACAGAATTCACACAGTTTAAAAAACAAGCAAATGCCAGGCATGTGGGAAATGTTTTATTGGGGTTTATACTTTTTGAAGCATCAGAGACTACGTACAGGAGAAAAACCATCCAAAGACCTGTGACAAAACTAATAAAATGTATTACAACAGGGATATGGAGGGGTTCTGGACATTCTAGTGTTGTAGACTAAACATTCAAGATTTCCCGATGAGCATGTGTGATTCCCTTGGCTTCAAGTAGGACTTGGCTTGACTTTGGACTGATCTCTTAAACAACTGAACTCTTGTTCAGTTTTTTGTTTTTTGTTTTGCTTTGTTTGATTTTTGATGGTTTTGGAAAACTCTTTTCCTTCTCTGGACGCCGGTATCACTGTGGGACTGGAGTGGCTTTCCCCTGGTCAGCCTTTGTGGGGAAACATCTGATTTCAAACGGAACCCTTTGAGAAGTTCAGCCTAAGATTTGGTAGAGTCCCCTTTCTTGTCATTTAAATCCCTAAATTGGGGTCCTGTTCTTGGAGCAGGAGAAAACAAGCTCTCTATGACAATCCTTCAGAAGGTTAAATATGACTGTCATGTCACTTATTTTTAAGCACTTCTTTAAGCCCCATGTCATTCTGCCAGGACCCTCACCTCTTGCTGCTCACAGGGTGCCTTTCCAGGCATTTTCCAACTCTGCTGCTCCTTTGATATGTATTTCTCATCTCACTCACACATAGTATAAAAAACTTCTCCATTTAGAAAAGTTACCGCATGTGCGGTGAAAGAAGGAGAAAAGGATGTGTGCACGCATGAGGCAAAAGCAGGGAGGGAGGTGCATGCCTCCCCCTCCTATTGCTGTGCATGCGCCCGCCAGCTGGATTGCTGTGCGAAGAGCAGAGAGGGTGCATGTGCAGCAAGAGGAAGAGAAAGGGAGGTGCGTGCGCAGCCTCTCTGCTCTCCACACAGCAATCCAGCTCAGTTGCTGTGCGAAGAGCGGAGATGGCGCACGCATGCCAATAGAAGGTGTGTGCTTCCCTCCCCCGTCTTACTGCACATGTGCGCCCCTCCCTTTCTCCTTACGTTGCGCACTGGGTAATTTTTCCAAACGAAGGCAGCCTTTAAACTATGTGGGTGCGGGATGAGTCCCGCATCCCTTGATAATGATCCAGAGGCTTTCAAGCTGGTTTCCCAGACTGTAGTTTTGCATCTCTTCTGCAACATAACTCTTTTTGACATATAAAAAGAGAATTATATATATAAATTAAATCTTATGTCTTCAGGCAAACTGAACATGACTTTGAGGGCAATGATGCAATGCACCTATTTTGTGAATGTTAAACAAAGCCTGTTTGTTTTATAGCAGCCGCTGTATGAACAAGGATATTACTTTGTGAGAAAAAAATGTCAAATTAAACAGCTAATGGCAGCAGACAGAACATTTATTTATTTATTATTATTTATTTAAAACTTTTTTTACCCCAGTCTTCTCAACCTCCGCAGAGGGACTCAGGCCGGCTAACAGCAGAAAATCAATACACAAATACAACTAAAAAACATAATAACATCAAATAAGTTAGATACAACAGAATAAATACATAAAACCAAGTCGGCAAGATAAAATCACGTTCATCTCAATCCGCCAGTGTGGTCAGTAGTTATTAGCTAATTGCTGAACTTCCCAATAATTCTGAGAATGCTATGTCCCAGAGCCAGGATTTCACTAGCTTTCTGAAGGTCAGCAGGGAAGGGGCAGATCTAATCTCCATTGGGAGAGAGTTCCACAGCTGAGGGGCCACCACCGAGAAGGCCCTGTCCCTCGTCCCCACCAGATGCGATTGCGAATGTGGTGGGACCGAGAGCAGGGTCCCTCCAGAAGATCTTAACAACCTTGATGGTTCATAGGGGAGAATCTTTAAATACCATGGAAATAAATAAGGGAGATATTGTTATCTTTACAATATTTATTTATTTATTTATTTATTTGCTTTATTTCTATACCGCATTTTTCAGCCTCATAAGGCGACTCAATACAGATGACTAGACAGCAAACAAAAAGAATTTGATAACGAGGCTATTAATAGCAAAATATCAGAAAGGAGTGGTAGAAATTAAGACAGAGGAATGGTATAAGGAAATATGGAAATTAGCAATAAAGGACAAATTAACATGTAATTTGAAGGTGAAAAAGGCCCCCGGGGGGGGGGGGGGGGACTCAGAGCGGCTAATGTAGGCAGCAATTCAATACCACAATATTAATAACAACAGTATAAAACCATAAATACATGAAAAATTTAAACAGTAATATTAGTTATACAATCACATAGCCACATAGCCGTTTCCAATCATCATAACCGTTGTATGGTCCAGTGCCATGTTCAAAGTGCTACTGCCCTCTCTAACCGAAGGCCTGGTTTCAAAACCACGATTTTAGTTTTTTCCTAAAGGAAAGGAGGAAGGACGCTGATCTAATCTCGCTGGGGAGCGAATTCCACAGGCGGGGGGGGGGTACACCACCGAGAAGGCCATGTCCCTCGTCCCCACCAGACGCGTTTGCGAAGCTGGTGGGACCAAGAGCAGGGCCTCCCCGGTTGTTCTTAAACTATGAGGTGGAACATAGGAGATATGTTCGGACAAGTAAGCTGGGCCGGAGCTGTATATGAAGACACCCCCCCAATTAGGATATAAAGTAGTTTATTAACATACAGTTTAATCCTAGATGTTGTTTGCTCAAATAAATCCTACTGTGAGTAATCTGGCTGCCCCCCCTTGGACTAATTGAAGTTTCCAAACAGTCTTCAAAGGAACCCCACATGTAGAGTGTGTTACAGTAATCTATTTGGGATGTAACAAGAGCATGGACACCCATGGCCAAGTCAGACTTCCCAAGGTACGGGCACAGCTGGCACACAAGTTTACTGTGCAAATGCTCCCCTGACCACCGCCGAAACCTGGGGTTCCAGGCTCAGTGATGAGTCCAGAGTCACTCCCAAGCTGCGAACCTGCGTCTTCAGGGGGAGTGTAACCCCATCCAACACAGGCTGTAACCCTATGCCCTGTTCGGCCTTTCGACTGACCAGGAGGACCTCTGTCTTGTCTGGATTCAATTTCAATTTGTTAGCCCTCATCCAGTCCGACACAGCAGCCAAGCACCGGTTTAAGGTCTGGACAGCCTCCTTAGTAACAGGTGGGAAGGAGTGACAGATTTGGACATCATCTGCGTACAGATAACATCTTAGTCCGAAACTCCGGATGATGTCCCCCAGCGGTTTCATGTAGATGTTAAACAACATTCGGGACAATACTGAACCCTAAGGAACTCCACAAAACAACGGTTGTGGAATCTAACAGGTGTCATCCAATAACACCTTCTGGGACCATCCCTCCAGGAAGGACAGGAGCCACTGCAAAGCAGTACCTCCAAGGCCCATCTTTGTGAGGCGTCCCAGAAGGATACCGTGGTCAACGGTATCGAAGGCCGCTGAGAGGTCCAGCAGAACGAACAGGGACACACTCCCCCTGTCCAGCTCCCAACGTAGATCATCTATGTTATTCACCTCTCTCTTAGAGGCTCCAGGCAGTCAAACAGTGTCCATCTTTACTGAACAAGGGATGGGGAGAGGACAGCAGTTATATATTATTTTCTTCCATATCTATGCTGTATAAAGGATCATTTCAATCTCTTTCTTATACCACCTGTGCCTTGGACCCTTGCCCCTCCTGGCTAGTTAAACTGGCCAGAGATGGGTTGCTGGACTGGTTTGTCTCCATAATAAACACTTCCAAGGGAAATTCTCATCCTGCCTGAAGTAGGCGGTGGTAAAACCTTTACTGAAAAAGACCTAACTTGACCCTTCCGTGTTTAACAACTACAGACCAGTCTCCAACCTCCCTTTTCTGGTTGCTAGAGCTGTGGTTGCTGATCTTGGCCTATAAAGCCCAATACAGATTCCTAGATGACACCAATATTCTAGATCGATTGTAGTCAGGCTTCAGGCTTGGGCACAGTACCGATACGGCTTTGGTTGCCTTGGTGGATGACCTCCACAGGGAACTGGACAGGGGAGTGTGACCTTGCCGGTTCTCTTGGACATTTCAGCGGCTTTCGATACCATCAATCATGGTATCATTCTGGGCAGACTTGCTGGGATGGGACTTGGAGGCACAGATCTGCTGTAGTTTCAGTCCTTTCTGCAGGGCCACTCCCAGTTGGTGAAGCTGGGGGACACCTTCTTGGACCCCTGGCCATTGACCTGTGGGGTCCCATAAGGTTCCATTCTGTCCCCCATGCTCTTTAACATCTACATGAAACCGCTGGGAGACGTCATCAGGAGTTTTGGAGCTCAGTGCCATCTCAACGCAGATGACACCCAACTCCACTACTCTTTTCCATCAGAATTCAAGGAAGCCCCTCGGGTGCTGAACCAGTGCCTGGCTACTGTGGTGGTCTGGGTGAGGACAAACAAGCTGAACATCAATCCCGACAAGACAGAGGTCCTGCAGGTCGTTTGTACGTCCGACCGGGGTATTGGGTGGCAACCTGTGCTTGACGGGGTCGCACTCCCCCTGAAGTCACAGGTCCGCAGCTTGGGGGTCCTCCTGGATTCAGCGCTGATGCTTGATGCGCAGGTATTGGCGGTGGCTGGGAGGGCATTCGCACAATTAAAACCCGTGCGTCAGCTGCAACCATACTTTGTGGCGTCTGACTTGACCATGGTGGTCCACGCCTTAGTTACCTCTAGACTGGACTATTGCAATGCACTCTACGTGGGGCTTCCCTTGAAAACGGCCCGGAAACTTCAATTGGTCCAACGTTTGGCAGCCAGATTAATAACTGGGGCAAATTACAGGGAGTGGTCAACCCCCTGTTTAAGGAGCTCCATTGGCTACCATTCATCTTCCAGTCCCAATTCAAGGTGCAGATCATCACGTATAAACCCCTAAATGGTTTGGGACCCACCTACCTTCATGACCGTATCTCCTTCCACAAACCTGCCCAATCTCTTCGATCTTCCTTTCGCCCCTTCCTCTATCTCAGGCATGACTTGTGGGAACAAGCGAGAAAGCCTTCTCGGCTGTGGCCCCCCGACTCACTACCTGGTGAGATTAGACAAGCCCCCACCCTAGCTGCCTTTGAGAAAGATCTGAAAACCTGGCTCTTCCGTTGTGCCTTTGTAGAGTGACCATTCATCCCATTTCTGTCTGTTCCATCTACAGTGTTGTTCTTATCATGCACTTTCCCCCGTCCTAAATTGAAGATCTAACTACTGTTTGTCTTTTTTGGGCTCCTCTCAAATACATGTTTTCTACTCCTACCTCATACAGAGTTTTATCATTTTATTTTGTCAATTTGACTTGCCCATTGTGTTCGATTTTCTATTATGTTATTTGGCTTTGCTTGTTTTATTTCGCCACTGTAAGTACTTTATTGTGAGGAAATTTTTGTTGTTGTATTTTGCACTTTATTTTGCTGTATTGTATCTTTGGTCTTATCCTCATGTTAGTCACCCCAAGTGCCCTTCGGGGAGATGGTGGTGGAGTATAAATAAAGATGATGATGATGATGATTATACCATTTCCCTAGAGTCCTTATCACTCACGCTGTCTGTTTGTTAAATATGCAATACAATTGTTTGGTTGCTCCTGACACGATAAATACATAATAATCACACTGAAGAATGATTGTTACTCTCCTCCTTCTTCACAGCAGATAACTGGAACATCAAATGCAGGAAGCAACTGGGACACAATGGGGGCCTTCCTAGACGCCAGCAAAGCCACAGAGAAGATGGAGCTTCTGGCAGAGAAAGGCCCTATAAATGCAATGTATGTGGGCAGTGTTTTACCCAAAATATGGGACTTATACTTCACAAGACACTCAGTGCTGGGAAAAGCCATTGTAAATGGAAAGTATCAGCAAAATGTGTTGCTGATTACAAACTGCCAGATCTGAGACAACAAGAAATCTTTGAAGGAACTGAGAATTTCATAAGCCAGAAGTGTGGGAAATTAGTGAGCCACAGAAGACTCCACACAGGAGAGAAGCCATACCAATGCAAGGAGTGTGGGAAATGGTTTGCTTACAGTTCAGCCTTGGTGAGCCACATAAGATTGCACACAGGAGAGAAGCCGTACCAATGCCAGGAGTGTGGGAAGTGTTTTGGTCGCAGTTCACACTTGGTGAGGCACAAAAGACTCCACACAGGAGAGAAGCCATACCAATGCAAGGAGTGTGGGAAATGTTTTGCTGACAGTTCAGCCTTGGTGAAGCACAAAAGACTCCACACTGGAGAGAAGCCATACCAATGCCAGGAGTGTGGGAAATGTTTTGTTTCCAGATCAGCCATGGTGAGCCACAAAAAATGCCACACAGGGGAGAAGCCATACCAATGCCAGGAGTGTGGGAAATGTTTTGCTTGGAGTTCAAACTTGTTAAAACACAAAAGACTTCACACTGGAGAGAAGCCATACCAGTGCCTGGAATGTGGGAAATGTTTTGCCCGCAGTTCCTATTTGTTGAGACACCAGAAACACCGGAGCATCCATACAGTAAAGAAACCATACAAATGCCAGGATTATGGACAATGTTTTCCTAAGAATTCATCTCTTGTAAGCCACCAGAGAACTCATACAGGAGAAAAACCATACAGATGCCCAGATTGTGGGAAATGTTTTGGTTACAGCTCAGCCTTTGTGAACCACAAAAGACTCCACACAGGAGAGAAGCCATTCCAATGCCAGGAGTGTGGGAAATGTTTTGTTCGGAGTTCAGCTCTTGTGAGCCACAAGAGAGTTCACACAGGAGAAAAGCCACACAGATGCATGGATTGTGGGAAATGTTTTACGCACATTTCATCCTTTAGGAAGCACCACCTAATTCACAAAAGTTAAAAAACAAACAAATGCCAGGCATGTGGGAAGTGTTTTTATTGGGATTTGTACTGTTTGAGCCATCAGAGACTAAAGACAGGAGAGAAATCATTCAAAGAGCTGGGACAAAACTAATAAAATGTGTTGCAAAAGGGAAATGGTGGGATCTGGACATTCTGGTACTGTCAAATATAAATTCAACATTTCCCAATTAAGACGTGTGATTCTCTTCGCTTCAAGTAGGGTTTGGCTTCACTTGTTTGGGTTTGTTTGACTTGAGACTGTTTCGGAGAATGCTTTTGCTTCTCTGGACACTGGCATCATTGTGGGACTGGACTGTCTTTCCCCTGGTCAGGTAAACTTCTGAATTCAAACACAACCCTTTGAGAAGTTCTGCTTAAGATTTGGTAGAGTCCCCTTTCTTGTCACTTAAATCCCTAAATTGGGGTCCTGTTCTTGGAACAGCAGAAAACAAGCTCCCTGTGGCAATCCTTCAGAGGGTTAAATACGATTGTCATGCCACTTATTTTTAAAAAACATACGGTATATATGCAAGTATAACCCTTTTTTAGGGTAAAAAAGCTCCCTTTGTCTTATACTCTGTTGAAGGTCCTGGCGGGAAGGTGTGGGGCTGAAAAAATCCCTTTTTTAATCCACAAGTCTTTCCACCAGGACCCTCACCTCTTGCCTCACGCCTCTTGCCTTTCCAGACAATTGCCAATTCCGCTGCTCCTTTAATATGTATTTCTCATCTCACCCCAACGTAGTATAAAAGCCGTCTTGGAAAACTTACCGTGCGAGCATCAATAGAAGGAGAAAGGGAGTGTGCACGCACGCGGCAATAACAGGGAGGGAGAAACATTGCTCCTTTCCCCCCCTATCGCTGTTCATGTGCCCTTCAGCAGGGTTTCTGTGTGCAGAACAGAGAGGGTGCATGTGCGGCAAAAGGAAGAGAAAGGGAGGTGCGTCCGCCACCTCCGCTGGGTTGCTGTGTGGAGAGCAGAGAGGTTTGTGTGCACGGCGAGAGGAAGAGAAAGGATTGCGATAAGGAAAAAAGAGAAAGGGAGGCTTCTTCTCCAGACCCTCGATCATTTCCGTCCCCCTCTTCTGGACACATTCCAGTTTCTCAACATCTCCCTTCAGTTGTGGTGCCCAGAACTGGACACAATATTCCAGGTGTGTTCGGACCACGGCAGAATAGCTATTCAATGTTATGTGTTCAGGCAAATTGAAGGCAATGAGGCAATGCACCTCTTTTATGAATGTTAAACAAAGACTTTTTGTTTCATAGCAGTTGCTGTGTGATGAAGAATACTACTTTTTGAGCCTATTACTACTTTTTGTCCTATTAAACAATTAATGGCACCAGACACAACTTCAGAGTGAAAACTTCATTGTATTTTAATTCACCATAGAAATAAATGAGGGAGATATTTTTTTAAAAGAAGAAACACTACCAAAGTCAGAAAAAATTAATGGAATCATAGAATCATAGAGTTGGAAGAGACCTCATGGGCCATCCAGTCCAACCCCCTGCCAAGAAGCAGGAATATTGCATTCAAATCACCCCTGACAGATGGCCATCCAGTCTCTGTTTAAAAGCTTCCAAAGAAGGAGCCTCCACCACACTCTGGGGCAGAGAGTTCCACTGCTGAATGGCTCTCACAGTCAGGAAGTTCTTCCTCATGTTCAGATGGAATCTTTCTTGTAGTTTGAAGCCATTGTTCCGCGTCCTAGTCTCCAGGGAAGCAGAAAACAAGCTTGCTCCCTCCTCCCTGTGGCTTCCTCTCACATATTTATACATGGCTATCATATCTCCTCTCAGCCTTCTCCTCTTCAGGCTAAACATGCCCAGCTCCTTAAGCCGCTCCTCATAGGGCTTGTTCTCCAGACCCTTGATCATTTTAGTCGCCCCCCTCTGGACACATTCCAGCTTGTCAACAACTCTCTTCAATTGTGGTGCCCAGAATTGGACACAATATTCCAGCATGAAACGGTACATAAGTATAAAACAATAACACGTACAATTATAACAACAACCGCTATCAACACACACAACATAAAATAGAATTGCTCAAGTTTAAAAATGCAGAACACAAGTAAGGGAATTATGGGAGGAGGAATTATGACCAAAAATTTGAGAAAGGAATTGGGAAAGATTATGGAGAGTGAGACGCCTCAAGAATTTATCCATCAGAATAAATGAAAATTATTACAAAATGATATGGAAATGGTACTTGACCCCGATAGAGAAGAATAATATGCATAAGAGCTGTTTGAAAAAAAATGTTGGAGGGGTTGCCAAGAAATGGGAACGTATAATCACATGTGGTGGCAATGTAAACATGTACAGAGGCTCTGGAGAAAAGTTAAAATACAGCTAGAAAGCATTACGAAGAGAAAAATTAATAGATATCTGTATTCGGAAAAGGGAGCCTGAGACCTCCTTTCTCTGTTGTGTAGGTGGAGGCTCTGCTCTGCTCCCAGGACTGATGGATTCCCCTTAATGTTCAGTGGGCTTGGGCAGCAAGGGTTTGGCAGGGAGAGAAGATATCTAACTATCCTATGAATATGGAATTTTTCTTCCATGGATATATCTATGCCATCATCTGTCATCCTTTGGTTCCAGGGCTTTGGAGAGATGCTCTTTCCCCCTCTTTCCAGTGTAACACTGGGCAAGGAAGGGTTAAGGGGAGAGAGTGTGGTTCCCAGAGAGGCAGGAAGTGGGCGTCCTTAGACCTGCCTTTCCTGCCCCTCTAGGAACCAAACTCTCTCTCCTTAACCCTTCCTTGCCCGGCTGGGAGAGAGGAGTTTCTCCTTTGGCCTCCTCCTTCTCTTCCTCCTTCTGGTGAGTCTTCTTCCCATTCCTTCTCCAAAGGGCCGAAGAGAGGCCAAAGCCCAACACACCTGGAGGGAGGGCCAAAGTGGGCCCAGGCCTCCTTTCCTCCCTCCCAGGCTGGCCTCCTGACCCAGAAGAAGGGAAACCACCCCTTCCTAACCTCTCCTCCTTGGAAGGAGATGGAGCCTGGCCTTGTGCCTTGGGCCCCATGGGGAGAAGGGGGGCTGGTGCAAAGGAGATGGGGGTCAGCACAAGAGAGCAACCGGGGACCCTTGGGAGGAGGGAGGGAGAGGCGGAGAGAGAGGGGCCCAGGGCGTTCCCCACCCACCCACTCACCTGCCTCTCGGTCCTCTTTCCTCCCCATAAGCTTTTTAAATAATTCAGAGTTTCTGTTTGCCATCTGGATTTCCAAATATTTTACTTTAGTCGTTATATTGATTTTTGTCTTTTGGTTCTCCTTTCCGAGAAAGGCTATGGATCATGAGGCATCAGCGGAAGGAATCACAGGGGGATTCAGTGTGGGTTGGGACTGAATAGGAGCTCAATGGGAGGCCAGGTGGGTCTAGAGCAGTGTTTCTCAACCTGGGGGTCGGGACCCCTGTGGGGGTCGCGAGGGGGTGTCAGAGGGGTCGCCAAAGACCATCAGAAAACATAGTATTTCTTGTTGCTCATGGGGGTTCTGTGTTGAAAGTTTGGTCCAGTTCTATCATTGGTGAGGTTCAGAATGCTATTTCATTGTGGGTGAACTATTGTTGTTTTTGTTCATTTGTTCAGTCGTCTCCGACTCTTCGTGACCTCATGGACCAGTCCACGCCAGAGCTCCCTGTCGG